TTATGTAAAACTGATGATCTGCCCTGTAAGCTTTCACTCAATTCACAATAAAAACATTAAAAAAATAATAATAAAGAATTTTTGCAAGGAAACTTTCTGATCATTATGAAGGACAAGAACATATTCACTGAAAGCCTGACCCCAAAGAAAACCACTTTAAACTAACTTTTCAAAACAATAGATAAGGAAAGAATACTGAGAGCATCTTGTGAAAAATGAAATATTACCTATCAAAAAAAATTACCTAATGAGACTAAGGTTTGACTTCCCAGCAAAAACCATATAGGCCGGAAGACAATGGAACAACATATATAAAACTCTAAAAGAAAAAACAAACAAACATGCCAATCAAGAATCATCTACCCAGAAAAACTGTCCATCATATATGATGTTGCAATCAGGATATTTTCAGATAAGCAGAAATTAAAAGAATTTGCAAAAACCAGACAATTTCTACAAAAATATTAATGGGAGTTCTTTGGACAGAGAACCAGCAACAGCAGATAACAAAACGAGACTAACATACATGACAATATCATCCAGAACTCAACCAAGATTTAGAAATATCCCAAAGAAAACAAATCTACAGGACTGAAAATAGGCAACCAGAGATATCAGTTTCCAACAAGAGCAAAACTCTCCGCAAAGATTCAAGTTGTCAAGGATTTAATTTGACTTGGATCCTAATCAACACTCATGGAAACTATTACTGTTGTTATTAAATGCTGTTGAGTTCGTTCTGATTCATAGTGATCCTGTATACGATTTCTGAGGTGCAGTTGTGGGTTTGAACTGCTGACCTTGTGGTTCACAGACCAGTACTGATCCTACAGCGCCACATCAGGAGCCCAAAAAAAAAATCAAATCAAAAGAGCAATTCTGTCACAAAAGAACTCGTTAAAGTGTTAAAAAGCAAAGATGTCACACTGAGAACTAAGGTATGTCTGATCCAAAACATGGTATTTTTCAATCACTTCATATGCACAAAAAACTGGATAAGAATCCATGAGTTTGAATTATGGAGTTGATGAAGAATTTAAAAATTACACTGGACTGTCAGAGAAACCACAGAATCTGTCTGGAAAGAAGTACAGCTAGAATGCTCTTTAGAAGTGAGGATGGTAAGATTTTTATCTCATGTACTTTGGACATGTTATCAGGAGGAATCAGTCCCTGAAAGAAGGATATCCTGCTTGATAAAGTAGAAGGTCAACAAAAAAGAGGAAGATCCTCAATGAGATGGATTGATCCAGTGGCTGTAATTGGCTCATACATAACAATTGTGAGGATGGTGCGGGATGGGGCCATGTTTCGTTCTATTGTAAATAGAGTTGCTGAGCCAGAATTGACTTGCTGGTACCTAACAACAACAATAATCCTGCTCTGAAGACTACTGTCCTCATTGTTTTATGCCATGTCAAAATGGCAGTTTGGGCATCCTCAAGGGACTCAAATTGTGTTACTTTTAAATGGCCTTTAATTTTGGGGAGCAAAAAGAGGCATAAAGGGGCAAGATCAGGGTTGTAGGGTAGCTAGGGTAAGGTTTCCCATGAAATTCTTGTAGGACAGTGTTTGCTATCCTCAAAAGATGAGCAGGTGCATCATTGTGAGGGGAAAAAAAATCCTCCACACAACTTTCCTGACCTTTTTCTTACCAGTGCAGTTTTCAATTTCTTAAAACTTCATAGTAAGCCCTCATGATCATGCTATTCCTTGGAGAATATATATCAAGATCATTTTTGTTGTTGTTAGGTGCCATCGAGTCATTACTGCCTCATAGTGACCCTATGCACAACAGTACGAAACACTGCCTGATCCTGGGCCAACCTCAAAATTGTTGCCACACTTGAGCCCATTGATGCTGCCACTTTGCCAATCCATCTTGCTGGGGGTATTTCTCTTTTTCTCTGATCCTCCACTTTATCAAACATGATATCCTTCTTAGCTCTGTGGAATCATAAAAAAACAGTTGTCATAATCTGACCTCTTTGTCTTGAATTTAATCGACCCAGCAGATCCCCTCTGAAAGGATTGTTTTGAATGGACTTGTTTTTTTTTAATGAAGGCCCCCTAAAGAGATTAAGAGAAATGTATTATTGAGAGAACTTTTTCAGCCATCCACTGATTGCAGAGACATGTTTAAACACATTTTGTTCGAAATGAATCTGTGCATGTATTAACTGGGAGCCTAGTAGCAATACTTTTTGACTTGCCTTTGTGTTCTTACAAAGCCCCCTCCCCCACCCCAACTACTCAAGGCAACTCTGATGTAAAACCAGGCTCAGAAATGCCTAGGTCTTTTGGGGTTCTTGGTTTTAAATGCTATGCCCAGTGAAGATTGAGCATCATGTCAGATCTAAGCATAGCCTCTCTACTTCTCAGCCCTTCTTAGAGGCTGCCTTGCTTCCAGCCCCATGTATAAAGGAAAGTAAAACTGAAGGAGAGGAGCTGTTCTCCCTGATCCAGATCCTCAGCCCTCTTAGGGTGTTGCATACCAGAGGGCCAAGCCTGTAGGTTCTAAGGGTGCCATTATCATTCCGAGAGGATGACAAGGTACCAAAGCCCAAAGATAGGGACAGGAAGTTTGAGCCTTCTCAGAATTTACATGCGGACCTGAATTTTCTGTAGTGTGATCTCTTCCAAAAGTTTTTTATTCCCTGGGAAGGCACTCTGGGTACTTTGTAACTCAGTACCTCATTCTGTCAGAATGTAAAGGCTGGATCTCTTTTCACAAAGGTATACAACATTCCCAATTTAATGCTGTGCTTTGGATTATCAGTGATCTCTTGGCTTGCTTCCTCTTTCCTTCCTTCCTTCTTTCCTTCTTCCTTTTCTTTTCCTCTTCCTGCCTCCCTCCCTTCCTTCCTTTCCCTGCCATCTCTCCTCCTCCTTCTTCATCCCTTCCTTCTCCTTCTACCAAACAGAGGATTGGGGCTGACAACTGCTTCCTAGCCCACTTAGAGAGAAGTATGAACGCTCGATTCAATTCGCAGTGCAGCCAGGAGAACGTGATTCCCTGGTCTCCTGATGAGTGGCTCCATTTTGGCAGGGCAGTCATTACTCATAATTGATGCTCACTGGCCAAGTCCAAACAAATGTGTGGCACACTCCACATACCACACACAGACACAAATATTTGCCTTGTTCCTGTGGGCTGATCCAGGGATACCATTTCCATCTGGGAGGAGCCACATGGCAAGACCATCTCCAGAAGCCTCTGCCTGGAGCAAAAGGAATAAGACATCCTCCTTTATTTTTCTGGTTTTCTATCACCAGCATCCAATAAGAAAAGGGGTCAAATGTCAAACTGTGCCAGAGATGTGGGAGAGGAGTCCACCATTCCAAAGCTAGAGTTAGTTGGTGGCCAGCTTCCCCTTCCTCTCAGAAACCTAGGCTAATGAAGGCTGGGGATGTTTGGCTAATGATGACAGGTCTTTGGGAAGATGTATTTTTACCTTTGGACAAACAGCAGTTGGGACGAGTGAGGCCTTTTTATGAGTTGAGGTACTCAGGACTGGAAAATAAACAGCTAGCTAATAAGCCGTTCTTATGGAAACTGGCATAAATAATAACAAAGAAAACATCCTGTGCTTTGTGTCAACACCCTCGGGTGTGGGGGTATAAAAGCTGCTGGCCAGCTGGCCACTGTCAGATTTGGGGAACTCTGGCCACGTTGCTGACCTGGACCTGACCATCCGGGACCATGGGGTGCTGCCCACCGGACTGTTTCACCTGCTGCGCTCAGGAGGAATGCTGTGAGACGTGCTGCTGCCAGCCCACGGGCTGCTGTGGTTGTTGCGCTGGCTGCTGCGGCTGTGGCTCTGGAGGTGGCTGTGGCGGAGGAGGCTGCTGTGGCTGTGGGGGAGGCTGTGGAGGCTGTGGAGGCGGCTGTGGAGGCTGTGACGCCTGTGGAGGCTGCGGAGGAGGCGGCTGCGGAGGCTGCGGTGGAGGCTGCTGTGGAGGCGGCTGTGGAGGCTGTGGTGGAGGCTGCTGTGGCTCCTGCTGTGGCTCCACAGGGTGCTGTGGCCCTGTTTGCTGCCAGCCCACACCAGTATGCTGCGACACGAAATGAAGATTTGGGTCACCACCAATGAGGCAGTCCCAGTGAAACACTCCATCTGCTCCAGATGGGGAACCCTTGTCTCCAGGATCTTTCACGCCTTTGAGCCAGTGTCCTGCCTCCCGGGTTAAATGTAAAGGAGCCCAGGCATTTCTAGGCACTGAGAACAAGAGCCATGCTGCTGAGAGATTGGAACCGGGTCCCACCCCAGGTGATCCCCCACAGCCCCTGTGGCTTTCTGTTCCTGAAGTGAAATGGCATCCTTTTACTCAAGGTGTCATTGGGACTGACCTCCTTTCCCAGCTTTCTGCTGCTTTTGAGATGCAAAAAAAATTCCTTTGTTAACTTCTGAATAAATTCAAGCATGCTGGCATAACCTAATTAGTCCTCCTGCCTTTTCTTTCACCTCCTACTTGGATCTGGCCAGACAATTTGGCATCAAAGGAGGGTTTTGGTTTTTTTTTTTTTTAAAATCCTGCATCAGGATCACCTGGGGGCCAGTTAAAACTAGAGATTTGGAGACCCTTCCTGAGACAGGCAGTGTCAGAATCTATGGGCATGGGGCCTGGGATCTGTGTTTTAACAAGAACTCCCAGGTTATTCTTACCCACTGAAGTTTGAGAACCACAACTGTAGACTGAAGTTTCCATATGCTGTACGTGATTCATTCGGGGAGGTTTCTTACAAATACAGATTCTTGGGTTCATCACCATTAGCTCTGGGGAGAGGGACCCTGGCACCCACATTTTTTAAAGTTTCTGGTCAAAGTTGATGCTCTTCATAGTTAGTCTAGAAGGAGGGGCATGACTTCTTTCCTGTGCATTACAATCCCCTGGGAATCCTGCTGCAGGAGGTTTGCAGGTTGGTCAGCACTCTGGCAAGGTCAGGGTAGCATTTTTTGGTAAAACAAGCTTGGTTCTCACTGGAAAGGGTTCCCTACAAACCCACAGATTCCGAAGATGCTCTAAGCAGTCTAGTTCCTCCTCTAACCACGTGCTTTGCTGTCTCATGTTTCTGAGTTAGATTTTTGGGGGAGGGTTGAGGGGGGGTTCCTGGAGCCAGCTGTGTTCCTTCTGCTTGAGTCTCAGAAACAACAATGGTGAGTGTCCATCCGGTAGGCTGGGCCTCGCCCAGGAGTTTGAGAATACAGTCGGAAGGTTAAAAAGCCACTGAGCCATTGTGTCAGCATCCTGCTGAAGGCCATCTTAAACTACATATAGAATAAAACTAATTTTGCTCTTTGTTGAGAGAACAGCATTTATTTTTATTCCTCCAAAGCAATGTTTTATTAAACAACCAAGTAAACAAAAACACATCCTCCCCTCTTATTATATGCACAGCAATGTTTCTAGAATCAGATAAAATATGAAAATGAAAAGAAACAAAAAGATATAACAAGAGAACTCTCACCACTCAGACCTTGCTATTGATGCACATCTTTCTTGATTCCTTTCAAAGCATATTCACAAATCAAACTTGGATCATGATGCTTTAATTATTTTATGTTTCTTTTTTTTTTTTCATTTCTTTTTCTTTTAAAACTTTTTATTGAGAATTGAGTGAAGGTTTAAAGAGCAGATCATCTGTTTGACATCCAACAAATCACACACTTGGTTTCATCTCAATGATTTCAGTCCCCTCCTTGTAACAAATTATTCCATTTCCTCCCTGTGGTTCCTATTTCCATTCCACCTTCCTTTCAAAATGCTCTGAACCTTGTCCCCTTTTGATCTTGAATGGTTGGGTGACCATTCTTTGGTAAGTATGTCTCACTACTGTTGTTGTCTATCTATCTTCTTCCCTATCTATCTATCTACTGCTCGATTGAAAATTGGGCCACGAGGGTGAGTTTTATTCCAGACCTGAAGGGTGACTGAGGGCCATAGTCTCAGATTCCTCCAGTTTCTTTTTGACCAGTAAGCCGGTCTTTTTGTGTGTGTGATAATTTTGAGTTTTGCTGCATATTGTCTCCCAGCACCTTCTAATGTGGTTGCTTTCAGAGCAATTGGTAGTGGTAGCACAACCCCATCTACTTCTTCTGGTCTCAGAGTTGTACAGACTGATATTCGCAGTTCCATTAGTCTATTAGTCTAATTGATTCCAAATATCTTCAGTTTTCATCAATCTTCCTTCTTCTGCACATGGAGAGATCAATAGTTGCAACTTAGATGGTCGTTCATGAGCTTTTAAGGTTCCAGTGGCTACTCACCAAACTAGGGTGTAGAACATTGTCTTTGTGGACTATGTTACACCAATTGAAGTTGGTGTTCCTGGAGACTGTGGCCCTGATATCATTACCTCAAGGTGTTTGGTAATGTCTGAGAAATTTTCAACATTTTGTCCCCTGTATGTTCCACCACAGAGTCCTGGTTTGACATTGTGGATAATTCACTGGGCCACAAGGTCTCTTTGAACTGCAAGGTGGGTGGTTCAAATTTACCAGCTGCAACTCAGAAACCCTATACAGGGTCACTATGTGTCTGAACCCACTTGATGGCACTTAACAACATAACATACTCTACCACAGTGCTGTAAGTTAAGCACTGGACTGTGAACTATAAGGTCACCTGTTCAAACCCATCAGCTGCTCCTGGTAAATCTTATACATGGTCATTATAACCTGTAATTTACTTGATGACACTTAACAATAACAACAACATGTTCCTTCACATTCATAGGTGTGTTTGCAACAAAGGTAAATACCCATGTACAAACATCCTCTGTAAAAACCTTATATATTTGTGGATATACTGACACTCTCCCTCTCATACCTGTTCAGCCTGTGTTACATGTGCAAATAGAGAAGACTATCTCCTGATCATTTTCACCAAGAGACACTCAGTAAGCTTAATAATAAACAACAAACATTCACTTAAGCTTTAAAACAAAACAAAAAACATAAATTGGGAAATGACATACAAAAAACAACAAATGATATCGAAACATGTCCTAAAACAGAAGAGAGTAGCTGAGACAAATGAGCTGGAAACAGACAAAGCTTTTCTAGAAAAGGAAGAGCAGGTTTTTGATATGCCTGAGAAATAATTCAGAATGATATGGAAACAAATTCAAATGCTCCGAAAAGGGGTGAAGGAAAACAAGGAAGAAGTCAGGAAAGTACTACAAGAGTAATTAAATAAGATTGATGCAACATTGGAAACAATTCAAAACCTGCAAAAAGAGGTCCAGATGATTAATAATAAAATATCACAAATGGACAATACACTGAAAGAGGAAAGGAGCAGAATGAAGAGATGAAAGTCAGAACTAGCAAGCTGGAAACCAAATCTCTCAATACTGCTAAGACAGAATAGCAAGCAGAAAAAAGGATAAAAAATCTGAAGAGCATCTAAGATTCATGCTAAATAACAGGAAGAGGACCAACTTAAGTATTATTGGCATTGCAGAACAAGAAAAATCAGAGAAGTCCACAGAGGAGATAGTTGAAGAGCTTCTGGAAGAAAATTTCCCTAACATCTTGAAAGATGAGAAGATAAACATTCAAGAAGCTGAAAGTACCGCAGGAAGGATAGACCCCAAAAGAAAATCACCAAGACATATAATAATCAAGCTCTCCAAAATCAGAGACAAGGAGAGAACATTAAAAGTGGCCAGGGAGAAGAGAAATGTTACTTATAAAGGCAAGCGAATCAGATTATGCTCTGAATCTTCAGAACAAACCATGCAGGCAAGAAGGCAATCGGGAGACATATACAAAGCCCTACAAGAAAAAGCTGTCAACCAAGAATTGTTTATCCAGAAAAACAATCAATCAAATATGATGGTGTGATCAAGACATTCCACAATAAACAGAATCTGAGAGACTTTATCAAAACCAACCCAGCACTTCACAACATCCTAAAGGGAGTTCTTTGGACTGAAAACAAACAAGAACAGACAACAACCAGAGATTAATAGCCATGGCAACACCACATGGAACTCAGCCAACAGATAACAGAGTCCAGAACAGAACAAGACTACAACAACAAACTCAAAGGAGCTGAGAGGTCAACCAAAGATCAAAATTATTTCAATCTAAAAGAAGGGACAAATGTAGCAACAGAGACCCAGGTGGTGAGGATGTCAGGTAAGTCACAGGATAAAATGGATTCTCTTAAATGGAGAGAAAAGTTAGTAGACTATAAGGCCCCCAAAAGAAAGTTAATACTTCACAACTTACCATGAAAATGAACTTCCAAGCAGAACATGCAAACATGAAAACTAAGAAGAAACCGACAAAAAATAGCACAAAAAACACAAACCCAACACAAGAAGGCATGCAGAACCAAAGAAAAACAGCACTATCAAAAAGTATTAAAATGGCAGCAATTAATTCATACATATCAATAATTACATTGAATGTCAATGAATTGAATGTACCAGTGAAGAGACAGAGAGTGGCAGAATGGATATGAAAAGAAGACCCTTCAATACACTGTTTGCAAGTGACACACCTTACACACAAAAACAAAAACAGACTAAAACTTAAAGGATGGAAAAAAATTTACCAAGCTAATTGCAACAATAAACAAGCAGGAGTGGCAATACTAATCTCCGGCAAAGTAAACTTTAAGATAAAAACCAGCATAAGAGACAAAGAAGGACACTAGCTCATGATCAAAGAGTTAATTGAGCAAGACGACATAACCATAATAAATATCTATGCTCCCAATAAAAGAGCACCAAGATGCATGAAACATACCTTACTAGAATTGAAGAAAGAAATAGATAAATCTACAATTATAGTGGAAGATTTTAACATGCCACTCTCGAAAAGGGACAGAACAACTAGAAAGAAACCTGACAAAGTTACAGAGGAACAAAACAACACAATCAACCAACTTGACCTTATATATACAGAGCATTCAATCCAACAACAATACAATATACATTCTTCTCCAGTACGCATGGAAAATATTCCAGAATTGACCATGTGTTAGGTCACAAAGCAAGCCTCCATAAATTTACAAACATCACAATTCTGCAGAGAATCTTCTCAGACCACAATGCTA